TGTGTCGTTAAAGTTTCGTTGGAACGAAGTTACGAAAAAATCAATTAACAAACAGAGACGTAACACTATTTTTTAGTTGAGTATTGTCCTCCGATGAGACAGCGGTAAGTCTACTGATTTACAGCACTATAATACGGGTTTCGATTCCTCACGGTGGACACAGAAGATGGCTCAAAGTGGTTTTGCTCTTAAATAAACAAAGAAAGAAGCAAAGTCTGAGTTTTATGAACTCTCGGTCAAACAAATAATCGTGTTAAAACAAACGCACGTGAAATATGTTTCTTCGTCAAATTTGTCAAAGAATTCAAGGCACGCTTCCGGCATTTTAATAATGATATTTACATGAACTTAAGCAAGCTGATTAAAAATGAAAATAAATTAAAAGCATGTTAATTCTACACTTTGTTGCAGTCGTTTCAGTGGCTACCAAATAAACCTAGCGGGAACGTGCCAAGTATAGTGGCATGGGGGCTAACCCCCCATAAGTGATTTCTCTTTACAGCAGATCGCCATCTGATATTTAGTCTTTTAAGATCTTTAAGTTTTTCACATTGTGACTCCAATTAATATCAAAGTGTTAATTTTTTCTGCCCCCAAACTAACTATTTGACCCCAATAAATCCTAAAACGCCATTGAATCAAAGGGATACATAATATACTAAAACTGTGTTTGAAAGATAATTTAGGAAACATTAAATTAAGGAAAATATGACCATACTATGATTTACTAAGTAAAACAGATAAGCTCACTATTAGAGGTGTGGCCCCACATGGCCAAGTGGTTAGAGTGCTCGACTCGCAATCTGCGGGTTCAAATCCCTGTCACACCAAACATGCTTGCCCTTTCAACCTTGGGGGCGTTATAATATGACGGTCAATCCCACTATTCGTTGGTAAAAGAGTAGCCCAAGAGTTGGCGGTGGGTGGTGATGACTAGCTGCCTTCCCTCTAGTCTTACACTGCTAGATTAGGGACGGCTAGCGCAGATAGCTCTCGTGTAGCTTTGCGCAAAATTTATAACAAACAATTAAAACGGTGTTTTCAGCTATAAAGCCAATAACATCATCAGGATTTGTGTTTTTTTTTTAGCGCAAAACCACACAATGGGCTATATGCGCTCTGTACATTGAGAGAAAACGTACCTTATTTTAGTATTGTAAGTTCCTAAACTTTCTGCTGAACTACTGGAGGATACACCAGAAGGATTAGTTAACTAAGAGCCTTTATATTAACCCCGAAACAAAATATTAAGTCTTACAGCAAATGTAATTCTATAAGTATTGTTACGCCTCCAGTCGTTAGTTAATTTTCCGTAAATTCGTTCCGACGAAACTTTAGCGACACAAGTCCTTTCTTAAATAAAACTGGTTTATTCTTT